AGTGTCAATGAACTTTTAATTTTCAGTGAACCTTTCTACCAAATGGGAAGAGACACATTTTGGCTTAAGAATTCTAGCTTTTAGAAATCTATATTCCATCGGACTTCTCTCATCTGATTTTAGAGCAATGGTTGTAATGTTCACCATGGTCACAGAAATATTTTCTTAAATCTTTTCTTGAATAACTAATGACAGAAACAAGGCACTGGAATCAATATTAGCGATGGTGTCGTACTGAGTTTATGACCCATGATCAGCCAAATCTCAGTTACACATAGTTGAATATTCTAGAAGAAAAGAGGGCACAAATGTATACTTTATGGTCCATCTACTTCTCATTAGTTCATCATATAGTAGCATGACTCACATCTTTGGATTTTAGAGCTGGTGGATATGAACTTCTTTATGTTCTGGGTTACATTCCTATACAGGTAACATTTATCCAACCTCTTAAAGTGTACTTGTGATTTTGCTTATCTTTTTAAAACCATATTTTCTCAGCTCTTTCTTTCTGGCATCTTGAACAACATGATTTGCTTTCACTGATTCATACGATACCAGGATAAATTTAGCATTGGGGTTTTTATATGTCTAAGCAGGTTTGCATAGATCTATGAATGTGTTGATAGAAAAAAAAAAGCCAGCTGTATTTAGGATTAGAATATTAAGTTCGCTAGCAAAAAATAAGCCATGAATGATGATGCTTTTTAAGAATTTTTCAGGGTTTCCTATGAATTAATATCCACATGTAGATATTAGCAATGAGATATAACACAATGCTTTCTGGTGATACTTTAAACTTTAGCCCATTGTATATGGATTGTAAATAAATAAGAGTTTATTGGAAAAAAAGTGATTTTTGGTGTCAAATACAGCCTTCCTCACTATCCGAACTCCTGCCTCCTTAGCTGATTACAGAATATCATTCAATCTGAGAATTTCCTAACTATTAATTCTCAGTCCTGATAACCATATAATATAGCTTTTTTTAATGTAAGTATTTAAACCTCCCAGAATATTTTTGTTGTTAAAAGTTGGTTCTTTCAATTAAATGTGTTTTCTTGGCATTCCTCTAGTGTCATCAACAGATGTATGTTTTAAGGAAGGTGAATGCTCACTTGTTCCCATTCCTATTCTGAGAAGATTGAAAGCATTGGTCCTCATCTGAGCCTCCCTGGACCATTATAGAACTCAGTAGAAGAGTCTGGGTGACAGAGGTCAAGCCTTTGGCTCTTACAGCACTTGTGTCATCACTTCCATAATGACTGTTGTTTAATTCAGCATCTGCCCTGGACCCCTCACGTTTCCTGCACTGTCCATTGCCGTACTACAGGAAACTTGATTATGTCTATTGTAATTTCTCTTGTTTCCTGGTTGACGTGCCTGTATCCTGTCACTGATCAAACATCCTTCAATAGGATTTTGATTTAACATTTAGGTCTCTCCCAGTCTAACCCCAGCTTATTGTTCCAAAGCTATTTTATACTCATCTTTCTTACAAACTCTCATCTCATAAAATAAAGGCTATTTATAGGTCCATAAATCTACACTAATAAAAGAGAAAGATGCAAAATTGACCGTCCCTCTGTGACACCCACCAACCAATCAGGAGTGCGTATGCAAATTAGCCCACCAAAGCTGGTGGGTTAATTTGCATACACTGGCACCCAGGGGACAGGGTGGGACAATTTGCATCATCGCCAGGGTGATGACACAGGCATTTTGCACCACCCCAGCTGCTCAGGGCCTCTGGGAAGCATGGGAAGGCAGGAAGGCAGCTTCAGGCCAGAGCAAAGACTGTGCTGGCAGCCAGGGTAAGGAAGGCCCATTCTGCATGAATCTTTGTGCATCAGGCATCTAGTATTATATAAGGAGTCTTAGCTCTACAATTTGTTTTATTTGGTCCATTCTACTTAAATGTTTCCCCTCCTCAGGCTGATAGTCTATACAAGCCGGGCCCTTTTTATGGCCCAAGCTAGAGTTTCTATTTCCAGGGGCTGTGTCACCTGCATTCACAGGCACCATGCCCTCCCAGGACCTGTGCACAGATTGCCATACCTCTCATTAGGTATTTAACCAACGCTTTCTCATATGATTACATTTTATCTTTGAATCTTGTCCTCCAGAGCGACACTAAGCCTGTGATATTAGTGATAGCATTTTCTATCTGTTCACATCATTACGACCTGGTAGAGTGTTTTGCATATGGCATATGAATAATTAATATTTGTTAGTAACTATGATGATAACTAAAACCTAATTGCCATTTACATAGAAGTGCAATTTCTATCCTTTTAGATAGTAACTAAGCAGCCTAAAAATGGAACTGTATCAATTTTCAATAGTATTATTCCAAAAGAATAACTAAGTAGACCACACCCAAAATCTAAGAAAATATTTCAGATTTTTAAAACTGGCAACTCAAAACTTCTCACTCTTACCCTCCACCTTCCACACTCTGTAGTACAGCCTCCACTGCTTACTATCAGAACAGATATATGTATGTGTGCTCTTCTTCAAATGCCATAACCTGTGAACGTAAATTTTAACTTTTTATTGAAATTCTGAGGTGTTATTAGTATGATTTTCTCATTTACTTGTCATTTTTTTTTTATCAAATGCAAATTATTTGTTGAGCAATTAGGCTTCTTGTGTTGACCTGAGTACATATAGCCCTCTTCAGAAACCACATTTTAGTGCTAATAACAACTTTCATGCAACACATCAGATCCTGTTATTTTGAAAAATGACATGACCAAAAACGGGGTCCTTTAATCTGAACTTTTGAAGGTTTACTAAAAGAGATGAATAAATATATTGGCACGACAATTTTTGTCACTATACTAATGTGAACAAATAATTATGGAAGTTTTATTAATATATGAAAGTTTTTTTAATATATTTTATTGATTTTGTACTGTGAGGAAGGGAGAGAGATAGAGAGTTAGAAACATCGATAAGAGAGTCATCGATCAGCTGCCTCTTGCACATCCCCTACTGGGGATATGCCCGCAACCAAGGTACATGCCCTTGACCGGAATTGAACCTGGGACCTTTCAGTCCCCAAGCTCTATCCATTGAGCCAAACCGGTTTCGGCAATATATGAAAATTTTTGAATCTTACATTTCTGAGCCCAGTTGGTGTGTTTTTCAATATAAATCTACCCAGAATATACAAGATTTGGTTTGTGGTTCTATGCCTTGTTTTGTACTGTTGAGATCAGTGAATTGTCTCAAAAGCCCTTACTATTTTGAAATCAAAATTATAAATATGTGGGAATTAAATAATGTATTGGTTACACATGGAGCAGATCAGACTCAGGAATTTCTATTGAATTTAATAGTGGACATCCAGGAGATCTTTTTATTGTCTGTTTTACAACCAAGAATTTCTATTTTGTGGTTAAAATAAGATACACCTTGTTACCTGATAGTCATTGTTGCCAATTTAATACCAACAGGAATCCCCAGTTTGGGATGTGGTGAGGAAGGAAACTTTATGTAGTGCTAACAGCTCACTCTAGTTAGTTAGAGTGGCTGTGAACCATCCCTGCTGTGGGTGAGCTCTTCAGTGGTCCAGCCAGAAAACACAATCTTCAGTGTCCCATAGAAGGTATGCTCTTCTTCTTAGAGGAGAACTGGATTACATAGACAGAAATCCCTGCTCCTGCTCCCTGATTGGTCAGAGCTGCACAGCTCTGATTGGATGGGGAAAGCCTCAGTCCTATTGGTTATAATAGGACCACAGTAGCTACTTTATAAGGGCTGGTTCCAGGGACAGAAACACAGTACAGGCCGGCAGTTTGTTGGCCCAGAGGAAGGCAGTCTAGTGGTGCAGAGATGCAGAGCTGCTCCGTGAAGTGTGGTTCACCTGAGGGACAGAAATGGCTGCTAGGTTCTGCTCTATGTTTTTGTTTTTATTTGAGCCCAGGTAGCCACTAGGAGCCCTTCTTAGTCCTCAGGGTTCACAACACGCACATACACGCAGACTTTTGTTTAAACGTCTTCAAGAAGTAAAAGAGAATATAAGATTATATCATCTAATTAATGATTGATAGTTGAAGATTTGCATTTACTTTTTGTACACTTAATAAACAAACCTTTCTAGAATATGTTTGAACTCTAACACTGTTCATTTTATTATGAATTTTTTGACTTGTTGAGTAGTAAATTGTATTTGATGCATTCCTTTTCCCCATTTTCTTCCTAGAAAACATTGGTTCATGTGCTATTGATAGTTCATTTTGTATATGTGATTATAAGCTTTCTAAGTACAAAATCTATGCCTTTTATTGCATTTATAGCTAAACATGTACATGCTGAACTTTGTCTAATGAATTGTTGACTTATTTTCTCCGCCAGGCAGCAGTTTGCTAATTATATTTCTTAAGAAATGTTATGGCTAATTTTATAGTTCAAGTAGACAAGATTGAAAAGACCCTGAGAAAACTTGCTAAAATAGTAGGAATGGACAGGGGTGTGGGAAGTAGTATTATGTTTTATTAAGTAAAGGTCTTACAAATGTTAGTATTGGTGACGTTATATTAACTTTTGCTAAATTGAAGTACAACTTTAATATTTAAATTGGGCAAAAAGTGAATATTTTGAAGGAGAGGAAACTAGATTTAAAATAAGATTATCTTTAAAAAAGTGAAAAGAAGATGATCTTCACTTAATAAAAGAGTTAAAATTACAACCTTTGTAATACAAGTTGTAAGAGGTAAAGACTCTTCAGTTTTAAAATTAATGTAAGTCACTGATCATTTTAATAATTTTTTGTAGCGTAGTCAGGTTAACTTTCATAAGTAGAATTTATAGATACATCATTTTCAGGGAGTACTGATAGTTTTACTTTAGATGATTTTTTTCTACCTACAAAATACATTAAGGATAGAGAGAAAACCCACATTTCCAAATGGGAAACTCAGAACAAGTCAGTCCAAATAAGCTAGCTAACACTTATGAAGTAATTCTCATCATTATAAATTGCCTTCTTGCAGGAAACAGACCTTATCCTGACTTTTAATATTTCAATGCACCGATCTTGGTGGATGGAGAATGGACCAGGATGCACGGTGACCTCAGTGACACCTGCCCCAGACTGGGCCCCAGAAGACCATCGCTACATCACGGTCTCAGGGTGTCTTCTGGAGTACCAGTACATAGAAGTGGCTCATAGTTCCCTCCAGATTGTCCTCGCAGTAAGTGTTGACAGACAACCACTCTTTTTAGTGCTTCCGGAATTTGTTTTATTTCTATGCTACCTCGGTGCACGACAAATGGACTATGCAGGAAACACCTGGCTATTTGCTTTTTCCCAATGAATGCCACTTTTAATAGGGATTTTGAGGTTAAGCCTTGCCCTGGACTGAGTATGCTGATTCTTTTCAGCAGTAAATAGATGTGGCATCTTCAGCATTTCACATAAGAAATCCAGCCAGTTTAGGTTTATTTGGCTTTTGGTAGACTGTTCCAAAGATTCTGAAGGGAAGATCAGAGAGTTTTCACTATGAAAATGCTACATACCCAGATTTATAAGATTTTAGAAGGTGTTCTTCCTCTCAGCCTGGTCTTCTTTCTCTGTGTACTGTTAGTCCCAAAACGTCTTCTCCATTTGCCCTATCTTCTTCCTAGATTTCCCCCAAACACCATCCATCACCTTTCATCCCTCCCCCATTTTCAAAACAATTCAGCTTTTTTAAAATTGAACTCTAGTTCTCAGACAATCAGGCCCCCCTTTTTACAGTATTATACTGGTAAAGAACTATCCTAAGTCCTTTCTATTGTGTATTTGTAGAACATACTTGCATAACACATACCTATGTTACCTAAAGCATTTTATTTTATATTGTATCATTATGACAAAGAGATAAATAAGATAAATAACATGCACTGTTCTCAGGAAAAACTTTTGCTAAGGCTAAATGAATAATTTGTGGGGTTTATAAAGTTTAAGTCAACTGTATTATACATGTTTCCATTTATTTATTACATATCTATAGGTGTTGATCCACATATATTTTTCTCGGAATCCGTGTAGATCTGCAATTAAAGTGCATAGTCTTAAAATTGTTAATAACAAATGATACAAGTAGGGTATTCTTTTACTTTTTTTTCACTTAATTATTTTGGGAATGATAATTATCTCACAATTCTTAATAAGACAGAGTTCTGGGTAGAATGGTATCAATTAGTTTACATAAAATTCTACTGGAATTTAAAAAAGCCATGTGAGCATGTGCATATTCATTTATTCAGCTAACATATAGATGTGTGTATATAGATAGATAATACATACATACAGATATATAACTAATCAAATTATATAATGAGTATATTCACTTAATAGATTTTTAAAATGAGGCATATACATATATACAAAATACACATATATTTTCATTTGTATATGTGTTATATATTAATTTCATTTTTTAATATATTATTATTTATTTTTTACAGAGAGGAAGAGAGAGGGATAGAGAGAGCTAGAAACATTGATGAGAGAGAAACATCCATCAGCTGTCTCCTGCTCACCTCCTACTGGGGATGTGCCCGCAACCAAAGTACATATCTTTGACCAGAATCAAACCTGGGACCCTTCAGTCCGCAAGCCAACGCTCTATCCACTGAGCCAAACCAGTTAGGGCTATATATTTGAATAGGCTAAGTATGCTGTGCTAATAAGCATTTTCCAAATCTCTTATGACTAAAAACCACAAAAGTTTACTCTTCTGAGTCAGCAGGAGGCTCTACCATTACTGTCACTAAGGAAAGGAGGCGGTGGAGCAGCCGCCATGCGTCATCATAGGTTGCCATGCCAGAGAGCAAGCTAGATCTGAAGCCAGAAAAGGCTCCTCTTTGGGAGGAGAGGCTCATTGTTCACAGTCCCACCCAGTCACAAAATCGCCAGGGAGAAGGGAGAACTAGAAATACTTAGTTAAGTATAACTGAGTATAAATCATGTCCACATTTTGAATTATGTTCTTAGCCAATATGTTTGAATTCCCTGGAAAAGTCCAAATAAGTCACTTCTTAATAAACAAACCTTTCTGGAATATGTTTGAACCCTAACAGTGTTCACTTTGATCATCTTAAAATAAAGATTAGTTAGATTAGATGGGACAGAAGTAGTCATTTCGTTACTTAAAACCCATTCAAATGAAGTATTCATTTTCACATGGGATAAGTAAGATGTTTCTGGTTTCAGGAGACAGATAAAACACCTTCATAAACATGTTGGAGAGCGGTTGTACATAAAATATTCCTTCAGCTGGAAGTCCCTTTTGTTCTGTACCCAAGCATTTTGGAAAGCTTCCATGTATGTGTCAAGGATGCTATAAAGACAGAGTTTATATGCATGGATAGTTATATTTTAGAGAGTTAGTTGAAATAATGCATGTGTGTGTATAGTTCACAGATTTATTAAACCCCACGTAAAATTTTGGCAGACGTGTAATTTTCTAAAATAATACACTTGGACATGGGAGCATATGTTGAGGTTGACAAACTGCGCCAAGAAAAAGTATTTTTACCATAAGTAAAAACCATCTGTGCAGGCAAAGTGGCTACAGCACAAAGACGATGGATGGAGTGTCCCTAAGAGCAGATATAACTGATAGTTCAAGCTACTGGCTCCAAATTCTGTCTACGTTGCCCCCAACAGAGTGGAGACATCATTTGAACAAGCCATCCCAGGATGTGTCATTTTCACCTCTCTCCTTCCCCCCCGCTTCTTCTTTCTCGGGGGCATCTTATTCTGCAATGCCAGCTGTGGGTCACCTGAGAGCAATTTAGTAACAGTGTACCCAAGCCAAGTGCTTGGAGATGCTTCAATAACCTTTCTGTCTTTGGGCTTGCTTTTGCCTAGTCAGCCTTGGGCTGAAAATGTCTGTTATGCAGAAAACTTAGCAGATCGTCATTCGTTTTAGAATGCTAATCAAAATGGAGCTTATCTTGAACAATTTGCTCGGCCTAGTGAATGGATTTCAGCTACAATTTCCTTATATTCCTTCTGATCACTCTGCTGTTCTGATTAAGAAATGAAATGATTTGTGTTACCTAAATCATCCCCCTGACAACCTACCGTTCCGTTCAGGCCAGTCCAGAGAACACAGTCTGAGTGCTCAGCCTCTGCCGGTACCCAGAAAAACAAATGACAGGATCCCTGACTCTGAGGGTGTCACAGTCAAAAGCGGGGTGAGGTTCCAAAGGCTTCAAACCAGGTGCACTGTTCAAGGATGTGATAGGCAGAAAATACAGTTTGCGCGTTTGTGTGACGTAATCCTGCGTTCCAGCATGCTTTTTTGTAAAGTCAGCTAAACTCTCACTCTTCTCATTGTTTTCACACCAGCCTTTGAACCTGCTGTCTCTTCCAGGATAGCTGGCTTAGATCTGCTTTCATAGAACGCTGCTCCTCCAGCGATTGCTCTTGATTAACTCCAAGTCTCTCCGGTGCCTTTTCTCCACCTTCGCTAAGCCTTTCTTTCACAGGCTCCTGACCCCTGGCACGCCTGTCACACCGGGGTTCAGTTTTCTGCCAATCAACGCCTAGCTGATTCTGAAATTAGCATTCACAAAGCCCACAATTTGCATCGCACATACATAAGGTATTTCTTGTCTACAGCCAGAGGAAGAGGAGTTATCCGCATAATTGGGAAGAGGGGTTATTAATCACACAGCTTCCAGCGGAGCGGAAAGGACTGCCAGACACCGAAATGACAAGCCAGGTGTGAGGCTGGGCGCTCTCTCTTCCCCCAGCAGCATTGTCTTTTACATAGCATCAGACATCCCCGTCAAAAGGGGTGCAGGTGTGCACGGTTTCAATAAAGCCAAAAAATATAAAAGCAACACACACTTATAAAATAGATCAACTCAATATGTACGGGGAGAGTCAGGGAGGAAATCGACTAGAAGGATAGCGGTGTGCACCTTACAACAAATGAAGCCCATTTCTTCAAGTGTGTGACTGCAACTGCATGGTTTACCAAATGTGCTTGGAGGAATTGAGTCCTTGAAAGTGGAACAGTCCTGTGAGGGCAGCAGAACAGGTGAAAGGCCTTTCCCAAGATTTCTTAGCTAGTAAATGGGGAGGATGGACATGCTGACCTAGGATTTCCTCTGCCACCAACAAGAGGAAATGGTTCAACCTGTATGCCAGCACCAGCTGATGCGCAATGGATCCTGAAGCCGCCCAAATTCTAGCTCTTTAGTGGCGAAGCATGACGTGATTGATTAGCTATGTCTGCTGTGAATGAGGGGAATGGAGGTGTCTGTGCCTTATACTTGGTATGCACACATTAGACTTCACTTCCTATAACCAATACAAGGAAAGAGGGAGGGTGTTTTAAACATAGTCAATGAAGCTTTCACACAAAAACATTTATTACAATAACTGAAGTTATTTTATATTTTAAAATATATGTTAAGATTCCAAATAATTTATTAGGAAAAAAAATGTTCAGTCCCTCTTTTCTCTAGCTACCTTCTGAGGACCAATACCTCTACATTGAACATAAACTTCTCCAACCAAAATTGCTGGAGGCATTTCCCTTTACTTCCTTGATTTCTTTAACTTCTGACACATTTCTACATTCTTATCGTTTTATCAGATTGATTATTTTTAATATATTTTCTTGACTTTAGAGAAAAAGGGAGAGGGAGAGAGAGATGGAAACATCAATGATGAGAGAAAATCATTAATTGCCTGCCTCTTGCATGCTCTGTACTGAGGATGGAGCCCACAGCTCAGGTATGTGCCCTTGGCTGGAATCAAACCTGGGTCCCTTCAGTCCCCAGCCCATGCTCTATTCATTGAGCCACACCAGCTAGGGCTAATCAGATTGATTATTAATAGTTTTAGGAGATGAGCAGAGGATATTGATAAAAATATAAATAAGATCACTCTTTCCCATAGATATTAAACCTGGCTTAGAAACCACATACAAATTAGCAGGGAAGTCTTAGAAGACTTCAGAATAGGTTCCAATACCTGGTGCTGTCCACAAGTTCACTGCCAAGTTCATCCTTTAGTGATATCTATTCCCTATTCAGAAAAATGGGTTCCTTGTAGTATTTATAAAATTGTGGAAATTCTTGTTCAACAGATTGTGGTAAAAAAAATTTTAAAGATAAAATATGTATCTTCAAATGGATGGAGTCACTGATGTTTCCAATTATTTCCAGTTCTTGATAAATATTTGCC